CTCATTATATTGGCGCGTGAATCGCACCACACCCTCTCATGAGTCGCCTCACGTTAAGAGCTGCTGCTTTTAGCGTCCAGGATGTTGCCCGTTCAGTAAGGGGTTTGATTGCTCTGAATGGAATCTTTTAAAATAGAGCGTTGAGCGTTGAACGCGCGCTCTGTTGATAACGCCGGTCGTCGGTCGATGACGCATGATTAATGATAACTTGGCCGAGTTATGACTGGTTAAGACTTCACTTCATTCCGTTTTTGTATGTGGATTTATTATTTCTCTTCTTCCCACTACTATACTACTATGGCGTTATGCGACAAAAGTACATCATTATGAAAGAGCTGTAAACAACTGTGCTTGGAAAGTAACAAGAACGGCGTCGCGTCTCCTAAGATCTGCGCTAAACGCTCGACGCTCTACTCTGAATGCGCTCTGTGCGAAATTATCGACGGTCGTCGAAATTATCGCATGCCGTCAGGAAATAATGAATAATGGAAATAGAGAAATGTTATCTGAATAATTCGGGAAAATATGAGGAACGTGCAGACATCATTCTCTCGTTGTTTTTGATCAAAGCAATCGAACAGATAACCAGAGATGTTTTTTATACACAACCCAACCAGTGGCCACATTTCCAGGCGTTAGTAAAACCGTTCAGAGCAACCTATCCCTCAAAAAAGCGACCTATTTTTTTACGTAGCCAAATTTAGACACCACTTGACAATTAATGCATATCTTTATTAATGTATTATTAAACAATAACGATCTTCAACCCAATATAAGCACACAACTCGAAGTACAACGACGATCGTGAACATCATGTTTGCGTGGTGGGACCAAGAAGAATCATGGAGCATAGGGAATTTTTTCCTTCTTTCGTCCCATGATCACCATCGTGACTGAGACAGACACTGAACAATACAAATCTCGGATTCGCTCAATAATCATTAGACACAGTTTCAGAGACAATGTTGTGACGCGCGCGTAAGCGGCGCGGTGGGACCTCGCGTACGCGTTGCGCCTGTGTTTTACTTTATCGGAACCTCTTTAAGAGAGAAAAAACTGCTCAACCTTTCATGTTAACTTCTGAATTTGTCCTAAGACTTCTATTTCAGCGTAGTTTACAGTAACCTGAGAGTCATACAACAAACCTGCTGCTACGGTGACAAGTACGAGCGGTATCAACGGGAGTGTAATCTTTGGTAGGCAGACTGGATTTGATGAAATCAAATGCCGCTCCTCAGCGTCAAGTACAAGCATCTCATGTGTCGCGACATCAATTTCTGGGTCATCCCAATGCGATGTCGCTCGACGTGTTCGATTCGGGCGATCCAGTCCACAAGATGGGGGCTGAAAAAAGCAACAGTTGTGCAGCTGTAGAAGAATGGTGGTAAGTCAATCCACCGCTTATAGGACCGAAGAAAGGAACTCTCGCCGCAAGCGAAAAATTCGCGCGGCATGCGGCCGGACCTTGTGCTCAGATCCTCAGATTTCATAAGTTCCTGGGAATATAATGGGCTGAAGAAGGGCCCTCCTCCACCCCTAAAACTTATAAGAACCTATTGAGAAGTGATGTGACGAATTGTACGCCAGTGACCGCCTCAATGAAGGACGATCCTTTCCCGAATCATTCCCACATGAGGCTATCAAGCTCCCCGTCGAGGTACACTTAGCGGTGAATGATGCCCTTGCACCTTCCTAGTGTGCCATAAAATCATGCAAATGATTCCACTTCAATGAGTTTTCAAGGTTCAAAGGTCCTGAATCGTAAACTTACCGTCACATCTTGGCACATGCCCATTTGTCGTTGGCATAACCGTATCTGGCACGTGAAGTAAAGTTGATTTGAATCGGCATATTTGAAGACCTACAAAAAAGTTCTTTACCCACAGCTTTCAAGAGTTTTGTAAAACCCCGAAGATGTCCTTGTCCCCTGAATATTTGGCTAAACCTCGAATATGTTCATAAAACATCTTTTGATCGGTAACGTTACTTACCTGACTTATCGCATGGGCTTTCATCAGATTTTGATCGTAAATGAGTTCGCTGAGCAGAAAACTATCAGTTGAGCATCTTAAAAAAAAATCAAATCATGGTAGTAGGTCATGTTTGGCTGGCAGGTGTGGTGTAGTGGCAAGTGACGTACTATTACGCACGCATGGTCCAGGGATCGAATACCCGATTGATACAAGTGGCCAACCAAGTCATCAAATTTTCCCTGGTTGGTTAATTGGTGGTAGATTCGTCTGGGATGATAAAATCAAGGGCTTGTATATCCGTAGGCCACCGCAAGTCATTGTGTAGGCCACATACCTCATTGAAACCACCACTACGACCCTGATTGGAATTCGGGGGCGAGGCGCATCCCAAAAATGGGCTAATTGGGGGGCAAGGGTCGAAGACTTTCTACTTGTCACCCTTCCTAAGGTTGTAGTTAGAATATAATCTTTCCAGGTGCAGCCACTGTCATATTTGTGAGGGTAATTACCATTCAATGACAATTTATTCTACAAGTAACTTTTCGTGATGCTGTAAAGGGGGGGGGGGGGGGG